TATCGCTACCAAGTAACACAGTGTTTAAGGCAGGGATTATCGCTACCAAGTAACACAGTGTTTAAGGCAGGGATTATCGCTACCAAGTAACACAGTGTTTAAGGCAGGGATTATCGCTACCAAGTAACACAGTGTTTAAGGCAGGGATTATCGCTACCAAGTAACACAGTGTTTAAGGCAGGGATTATCGCTACCAAGTAACACAGTGTTTAAGGCAGGGATTATCGCTACCAAGTAACACAGTGTTTAAGGCAGGGATTATCGCTACCAAGTAACACAGTGTTTAAGGCAGGGATTATCGCTACCAAGTAACACAGTGTTTAAGGCAGGGATTATCGCTACCAAGTAACACAGTGTTTAAGGCAGGGATTATCGCTACCAAGTAACACAGTGTTTAAGGCAGGGATTATCGCTACCAAGTAACACAGGGTTTAAGCAGCTGGTTGATGAAAATAATTTCGAGCCACACACCGGAGCGTCTGCCTCGTCATGATAGCTGCAGATTTCAGGAGTGTGACTGCTTGTCTGATCTGCCGCTCGTGGGGCGACACTCCACTGAAACCCATGTCCGCTCCACCTATTGAAAAATAAGAACTTATAAAAAACACTCTAATGTATTGTACTTTGCAAAATTTTCAAATGCGAGGAAATCATAATGCATACCTATTTCTTATTAAATTGAATACTCAGTCAAGCTAATTTTTAATTCAATTAGGTAATTATTTGACAATTTTAAGTATTCCTATTTGATAGTGCTCACGTAATTATCATAAAATCTGCAACTCATACACGCGACAACATTTCTTCTCGCTTCGAATCACCGACATGTGGAACAACCTCCCCGATAACATCGTTGACGCTCCGAGTATAAACGCGTTCAAGCAAGAACAGACTAAATAGAGCTATGGAAAAATACATATTCAGACTTGAAATGCCGAGCACCTTATCAAACCTGATGGAAGTTTAGTAGCTATTTCAAACTATCGCCAGTCGTGAAAAAACGGTCATTAGACATGCTTTTAGATCTTCTGTGAACAAGTCACGAAAAGTACAAGAATCGGCGACAGGCCACATCAGGCCTACTCTTCAGCGCCGACATAACTATGATATGTTATGTTAATATAAAAGCAACAATAGATTGATATATAAAACTGAGAATTGGCCTCATTGGCATCCTGGTTGACAAGCTTGATTATATATATTTACTCAACATTCGAGAAAGCTCGACGTGTTAATTTCAAGATTTGATAAATTCACATACCTTTACAAAGTGTGATGGCGAAAGGGATTCTTCTGCTGCCTGGAGTGTCCAATTTGTGGAGACGGTGGTTGACAGCATTTTCTAAGTTCCCGTTGCTGCACCGCCAAATCCACATGCATGTCACAGAGACCACCAGCATCATTAAAAGCTTTGTTCGAGGAACATTCATTGCCGGCACGTATTTAAATTAAAAAAAAATACCATGAGAGACGATGAATGTTTAAGAACAACTGCCAAAGAAAGGAAAAATTATTTCTTCGAGTCAGAAGATTTATAAAATCCGTTTTGTTTAAAATTTGCAAGTCTGTGTGTCATAAGTAATAATTATCAATTTTGAAAGTAAACTATCTTTTTAGAAAAATAAATTTGTTTACTGCTCATACCTTACATATGTACGTCAAAGTTTTTGTGTATTTGGGCTTTTGTGCGTGTGGAGATTAGCTCATTAAATATATAGGGGCTGTTTGAGAGCATACCGCAATATTTTTCATGTCATTTTGTTAGCTGAAAATGTTATTTTATTACTGTTATAATCATGTGGATGCGAAAAAAAGATAACAAAGTTAGATTAAAAAGTAAAATTTGATTTTTTTACATTGCTAAAAGTGTAAATTTTGTTCAAAATGCAAAGATTGATAATCTGTTAATTACGAAACAGAACTTGAGAGAGTTCCGTGCTGAATGTGGGTTTGAATGGCTTTTTCCTTAATGATGATACTTGATTCCGAAAATATTTACAGGGTTAGGGATGATGGGTTTTAAGATGACCGGGTTAGGCATGATGGGTTTTAAGATGACCGGGTTAGGCATGACGGGATTTGTAACGACGGGATTCTCAAATTGTAGGGATATATTATTGGGAACATTGGATAAGCTGAAACTCCTTGATATAATTAAAAATATTTAGGTATATTTTTCGTGCGATGATTTTACGTGAAATTTATACACCTCATAGAATAGAAGTGTCGGCACTCATGGATCTTTCCATAACTGACAATTGATTGAGATAGCTGCTGGACTTATTGCCTAGTCCGTAAGTTGCTAGAAAATTTAAGACTGAACATATGCTCCTGCATAGCTTCGTCTAGTCTGTTCTTGAAGGCATTCATACTCGGAGCGTCAACGATGCTATCAGGGACTTATTCAGGGAGGCTGTTCCACATGTCGGTGACTGGAAGCGAGAAGAAATGCTGACGCATATGGATGTGTTACAACGCAGTTTTTTAGTTTATAGCCATGAGCCCTGGTGTTGGTTCTTGTTTCAAATTCTAGTAATCCTTCCTGGGATCTTGTTTAAACCATGAGTACTGTATACTTAATTAAAAATTGTTAACTACCTCCCAACAAAAACAAAGAAAACATAAAAAATTGACTCAGTCACCAATGAGCGATTTTAGGAATAGATAAAAACTTCCATATTCACTAAAATGTTCACATTTTGAACATTTTAGGTGTTCACATTTTGAACATTTTTAGTGTTCACATGTGAACACTAAAATTTTCACATTTTAGGCATATTATTCCCAGGTATTTTGTGCACTTGACGATCAGGGGCCATACTTTCAAAACTCGCTAAGTGAACGTAAGTACTTACGCTCTATTTTCTTGTCTATGATTGGTGGATTTTGCTTGAAAGGCCGTCAATGATTGGCTGATGAACTTACGATCTCTTCACTTTTTTTGAAAGAATGGGCCCATGCCCGTAACTACTCAATCGAGGCAATTTTTTTAAATTGTTCAAGTCGAAATGCATGTGGTCAGTTTGATCTCCCGGTGCATGCGTTTCTATGCTTCATCGGAATGAGAAATATAGTTCATAGGAGCTCACCAATGCAATGCCAACGATGAGGACAAAGGGAGTTAATTCAGTTGCAGCGTTGATGGTTTCATTTGTCTTCATCGAACTGATTCTTACCGTCACTGCATGAGAGGCCAAACAACGCTTTAGACGACGAGTAAATGACAGCGATGAGAATTAGGTACGACATTTGATGGTAAGAATTTTTGTGCAGCGCCTGAACATATATGAGCAAGTGTCCATGAACATATATGGCTGGTGTTCATGATTAAATTTGCGCAAATTTATTTTGTAAGAAAAAACACCATGGTTATCTCCAAATAAGACATCAGCATGCTAACTGACTAGAAAGATAATAATAATGTACTTGAAAATCACAATAAACTAGCAAATTTTTATCAAATATTTTTCCATTTTTCTCAATTCCTCGCCCAGAAATTGGAACTTTAATATTTCAAAACTGGAAATATTATCTACTGTAATAATTATCCTGTATTAAAAATTTTATCTACTATAATACTTTATATTTATAATAATATATATTATTATTATTCCAAAATATTATTATCTACTGTTATGTATGCTGCGAAAATGGTGAGATGGTCGTATAATCTGTTGTTGAGCATTTAGTCTTACAGCAGCCCTTTTAATTCTAGAAGTGAAGATGCATGTTGTTTTGAACATGGTATTGCGAAGGGTTTCGTTTTGAGTGATATAGAAAGTGCGTGTGTTGTGTTCTGGTGCGTCAAGAATAAATAGCATACAAGCAACACAAAACTCAAACATTGGAAGATAAAACAAACTCCAACAATTCTGGTCTTTAAAAAACGTATGAATTTAAACACCAACCAACTGACACCTAGTGCGCAACAATAAAAACGCGACATACCAGAATAAGAAAAATCCATCTTATGCTAAACAATTAATGAAGCATAAACGACTTAGACTTAACTTTGACACTGAACACATCCACACCCCACGGAAAGAAGTCGGTGCGTGGAGCGTAGGCAGCTAGCGTGTCTAAATTGCTGGAAGTGGCTAAACGAATCAATTCAAAAATGTTCGTACGCCGTTTTCATCTAAAATTGATCGAACTTTCGCTCGGGCGAAGCCACAAGGCGGATGACGTCATTGCAGGAAATAAACATAAACGCTGAATTTGCCTGCAAGTTTTAATTTAACACATTTACGTGGCAGCTGCGGTTTAATGCTGACAAGTGTAAAGTACTTCACCTCGGGAAGAACAATGAACAGCAAGATTACAGTATGAGAAGACATGGTTGCAACTTCTCATACATTGCCAAAATCAAACATTCTTCAATATGCAATAGCACTCAACGATCAACATTCTCCAATATTCAACACCGCTCAATATTATCCCACATTATCCATGTACGAAACATTCTAACACATTCACCCGTACCAAACATTCTTACCTATTTGCGGGTATCAAACATCTTCCACATACGGCAGAGCAGAACATTCTCTCACCTTAACCAATAGTAAACCATCTCTGGTATTCGCCATCACTAAACATTCACATACAGTGGCGGAAATTGCTATACGACACCCAGTTTTTCCTGAATATTTTTTTCTTGCACAAAAAATACTGGATTCCAATTATTCGAGGCTAAACTACGTTTGAAAACGTTCACTCTTCTATATTATTATTTAAGCTCTTAAATTAATGTGTTTTACAATTAAATCAATTAAAAATGTTAAAACAGGCTCATTGCTCATAAATCTTTTCATTAAATTACTCCATATTATTTTGAAGTTGTATCGACAGATCTTTCGAGTTATGATTCCTTCGGTGCATCCTTTCTAGCTTAGAGAATCTATCACTCAAAAATTTGCTCGGTAAATGAAAAAAAAAGTTCGTGAATTCAACAATTGCTCATCCCTACAGATGGAAATAAAAGAAGAGTCAGAGAGGGAGCCATGACCAAGTTTGAAACTCAACTTCGACAAACAAAAGCGCTCATCAAGTCAGCCATTATATTGAGTAGAGCCCCGATCAGGTAAGTGAGCCGAATACAATTAAATTAGCAGCTATCGTTATAGTTAATAACATGGGAAACCCCGCGGTCTAGTTAAAATTTTTGTTGACTTCCTGAAAGAAACCTTGATTAGAAATTTTATCGGAAACGTTCCTTTGTCAAAGATTCGTCCTAAAATTTGTATGGGTAACTAGCGCGATGTGAACTCATAAGCAGTGACCTATGTTCTCCTCTATAAAATGTTGTTTTCCCGCATGCCAGCAATGGCTTGCAACTATTGCCCTAGCAACACTCAGCAAATATCTATATTATAGAATAGAAAAGGTGAGTCGGCATTGAAGAAATAGGCCCATGGCCTGTAGCCGATTCTTGTACTTTTCGTTACTTGATTCACTAGGGATCCGGCCTTTGGAACCCGATCTTTCCATAGCTGACGATTGATAGAGATAGCTGCTGGACTTATTGCCTGGTCCGTAATTTGATAGGTATTTTAAGACTGAACATGTGCTCCTGCATAGCTTCGTCTGGTCTGTTCTTGAAGGCGTACATACTCGAAGCGTCAACGATGCTATCAGGGAGGCTGTTCCACATGTTGGTGACTCGAAGCGAGAAGAAATGTTGTCGCATGGATGTGTTACAACGCAGTTTTTCCAGTTTATAGCTGTGGCCCCTGGTGTTGGCTCTTGTTTCAAATTTTAGTAATCCTTCTGGGACCTTGTATAAGCCATGAGTATACTTGCATGTTTCAATGTCACCACGCCGACGTCGATAATTGAGGCTTGGAAGCTTCGTAATCTTTAGCCTTTCCTCATAAGACTTGCCTTTCAATCCCGGAATCATAATCATTACCAATTTTAAAGATATTATTCTTATTTATTATTATTATTTTATAATTTTTCGGGTGCTTCTATGCGAAGCCGATATTGTATTCAGCTGGTTTTGAGAGGCATCTTGATATACAAATTAGCTGCAAAATATATATCGTCAATCAAGAATTTTTCGGTATTTTTCTACACCGATCGTTGTAAAGTTTATTTTTTCTCACTGTAGGTTTATCATCTTGGGTAACGACGACACCGTACTGCATGCTTTAGAGGCGTTCGTGTCTGAGTGGCCGCCTCACCTCAGAAGTCGTCTCACTCTGAGCTACCGCCCAGTCTTCATACCAGAAGGCTGGCACCTGATGGACCTCTACGAGAAATGCGCCACGGAGAAACTGTTCCTGCCGTGGGTGTTGCCTGAGTTTGACGCGGTGGTGTACATGGACACAGACCAAGTGTTCATGAGGCCTCCTGAACACCTGACTGAACACTTCAAGTATTTTGATAAGAAGCAGGTGCTTGGAGTGGCGCCTGTCGATGGATTTTACATGCAGTTTAATACTAAGGCAAGAAACAACGAATTATGGAACCATCAATAATAGCCTTAAACTTTTATAACAAATACATGATATCGTCTGTGATGTGTAGTTTTTTACAGCTTTTCAACAGATATGCGTGTAGTCTGTTTTATTTTATGGCAGTTTTTCGGTCTCTTAACTAAAGTTTTAATTTGGTATTTTGGTGAATCGGCGCATTTTCAATTTTTTATTGTTATAACTTTGAGATTAGTTCAACAAATTACTCTCATTAGATTCAACTTCCAAGTTATTTAGTTCCTTGAGGTAAAAATTATAGCAACAGCTCTTATGATCATTTCCAGATGCCATACTACGGCAAGCAAGGCCTGAGCTCAGCCTTATTAATGGCCAATCTCACGCGGTGGCGTAGTCTCCCCTTCGACTGGCTGCCCATGGTCATGAGCGTGGCAGAAGTTTTTAAGGAAAGCGTCCTAGGAGACCAAGATATATTCAACATAGTGTTTAGTGAGGTTAGTAATTCACAAAATATCAAAGATGAATTGTTTCTTCGAATTTTGATCTCCTTGTTATTTCATTTATTAATTTACGATGGAAATCGAACACGAGTCTCAGCAGTCCATTATCAAAAATTGTAGTACTTCAACTTTACTACACTGCCGAATAAATTCAAATGAAGCTTATCTAATGTGTGTTATAATAACCGTGAAAAGAATTTAAATATATGTAGCAGAGGCACAAAATGCAAATATGTTCTAAGTTCTGGTAAAGTAAGTGCAAATTTTCAATATTATTCTAACTCGTCGTAAATAACCTATCTAGTTGGATTAGATAACCTTAAATTAGAAAAAAATGTATTTTTAAAATTCAAAGTCTACAGTCATTCACGCGCCTACAGTCAAAGTCTACAGTCATTCACAGTTCCCAGGGTACGTGTATGACCTGAGCTGTGACTGGAACGGCAGCATCGAGCAGTGCGTGTATGAGGACTGGAACTGCAGTGCCACTGAGCGGTCAGGTTTCTCTTTAGTGCATGGCGCGAGGAGGAGATTTTTTGCACAAGAAATGTGGAACCGTCCGCTCGACATAAACTCCCAACGCTCAGTAATCCCAATGCAGGTAAATTTCATAATGTAAGTTTCAAAATTTAACCCTGACAACTTGAGTGGATTCATACAATGATTTTGGAATATTGTGTGAGTTATAAATATTAGTAGGCCATTAAGTTCAATTGACTATTCGAAGAAAGACAGAGTCGATAGTTCGCCATGCATCTGCATAGATTATTCAAGGAAACTCGACTTCTAAATCTTCGAGTGGTCGGATCACCCGCGATATGCAGTAACCCACACTAATCGACATCGTTGCCCACATTGGTGATTGACTGGGTCGGGGTGATGCCACCAATACCTGACCGAGAAACATTGACACTGATAAAAGCGATCTTTTTCTACCAAGATTTCAAGATATAAAGTAGAAATGCAAAATTTTCAATAATTCATTTCTTTCTATTGTTCGAGGATTAATCATATGCCGAATAATTGGAAGCAGTTTTAATTTAGAGGAAATTCTAATAATAAGAAGTCAGTCATTGCCTTAATGCCTCGGCAGCTCTAGCAAGATTTTAAGATATTGAATAATTAACTGAAACAGGTGTGTAACAATTATTGTGTAATGAGCCAGGTCAGCATTTCCTATATAACACAAAGAATATAATACTCTAATTGGTAGCTTAAACTGATATGTTGTTATCTCCACTCCACTTTATCTGCGCATAGCCATACATTCTAATAGTAACAAATTTTACGAGGCGAACAGAATTTCCTACGTATGAAAATTGTAAAACCTTGCCTAATGCAGTGGGCAAAATAAGTATTTAGTCAGTCACCAATTGTGCAAGTTCTCCCACTTAAAATGATGAGAGAGGCCTTCAATTGAGAGGTAGACCTCAACTATGAGCAACACAATGTAAAAAAAAATTGAGAAAATCATTTTGTTGAACTTTTAAAGATGTATGAAAATGATGGTGGAAAATAAGTATTTGGTCACTTGCAAACAAACAAGATTTCTGGCTGTCACAGACCTGTAACTTCTTTTTTTAAGAGACTTCACTTTCCCCCATTCATTACCTGTATTAATTAATGAGACCTGTTCGAAGTCGTTAACTGTATAAAAGACATCTGCTCACAACCTCTAACAGTCACACTCGAAACTCCATTATGGTGAAGACGAAAGAGCTGTCGGAGGACACCAGAAACCGAATTATAAGCCTGCACTAGGCTGGGAAGACTGAATCTGCAAGAGGCAAGCAGCTTGGTGTGAAGAAATCTACTGTGGGAGCGATAATCAGATAATGGAAGACCTACAAGACCACTACTAATCTCCCTCGATCTGAGTCTCCACGCAAGATCTCAGCCCGTGGGGTCAAAACAATCACAAGAACGGTGAGGAAAATTTCCAGAACCACAAGGGGGATCTAGGGAAAGACCTACAGAAAGCTGGGACCTACGTTACAAAAGCTACCATCACCAACACACTACGACGCCAGGGACTGAGATCTTGCAGTGCCAGACGTGTTTTCCAGCTTTAAGCTACTAAAGCTAGTCCATATCCAGGCACGTTTGAAGTTTGCTAGAGAGCAGTTGGATGTTCCAGAAGAGTATTGGGAGAATGTCATATGGTCAGATGGAACCAAAGTAGGACTATTTGGTAAAAACACAACACGTCGTGTTTGGAGAGAAGTTAGTGCGGAGTTTCATCCAAAGAACAGCATACCAACTGTGAAGCATAGAGGTGGCAACATCTTGATTTTGGGCTCTTTTTCTGCAAAGGGACCAGGACGGCTGGTCCGTGTACATGAAGGAATGAATGGGGCCATGTATCGTGAGATTTTGGGTGCAAACCTCCTTCCATCACCAAGGGCAATGGAGATGAAACGTGGCTGGGTCTTTCAGCATGACAATGATCCCAAGCACACTGCCAGCTAGGGCAACAAGAGAGTGGCTTCGTAAGAAACATTTCTGAGTCCTGGAGTGGCCTAACCAGTCTTCCGATCTCAACCCCTTCGAAAACCTTTGGAGGGAGTTGAAAGTCCGTATTGCCCGCCGACAGCCACAAAAAATCACTGCTCTAGAGGAGATCTGCATGAAGGAATGGGCCAACAGGCCAGCAACATGTGTACTAACCTTGCAAATACTTTCAGAAAACGTTTGACCTCCGCCATTGCCAACAAATGATATAGGATAAAGTTTTGAGCTGCACGTTTGCTATTGACCAAATACTTATTTTCCACCATAATTTTCAAATTACATCTTTAAAAGTCCGACAAAATGTTTTTCTCAATTTTTTTTCATATTTTGTCTCTGATAGTTGAGGTCTACCTATGATGTCAATTGCAGGCCTCTCTCATCACTTCAAGTGGGAGAACTTGCACAATTGGTGACTGACTAAATACTTATTTCCCACTGTAAATACCTTTTGATATGTTTTGAATTTTAATAATAACCAATGAATATAATAAGTAGTCTTAATTTTTCCTAACCATTATTAGATACCGCAAATGCAAGAACCAATAAAAATATAGGGAAATGTTGGGGAAGGACATATAAATAATATATATTGAAAGTATAAATGCCATAAAGAAAGTATTGAGGAAACATGTTGAAGACATGAAAAATATATTGAATGCATAAATGACACAAAGTATTCGGTCATATGTTCGTTGATATGTTGATGATAATTACTTTCGGTCATGTGATTGTTGGATCACAGATGGCTAGTAAAGTCACGAATTGATAATCTCTGCATTGATAACAAAAAGCATTCAAAATGACATGCATTTATCATTTTACGAAACACTCCAATTTTTATGCTCCTAAGAAATTGTGGAGAGAAATCATCTGCTTCTCACAATATTCCTCAATATCAAACGATCGCATCATTAATACAAAAAATTAATAATAATCATTCAAACGCTCTACTATAAACATTCCTGTTTTTTATTACTTAATAAAACAATCACTTTCATCGAATATTTTCAGTTTTATTGAGCAATTTGTTTTAAAAATCAGTGAAAAGATACGCATTAAGCAAAAGCTGCAGGCAGCGCCACGCTAACCAGGAAAATATGATTTAAAATTAAAATTGGATCAGCTCCACTTAGATGTTCTAGCACGGAAGATGATTGGCTGATAACAAGGAAATTTTTCACACTACCAGCTTTTACTTGAGGAAATGTTTAAAAAATTAGATCAGTACTCACTGCAGTGAATGACTGAGAGCGTATTTTCTAATCCGCACGTCCGTGAAGTCACGGACAGACAGACAGACGGACATGACGAGCATAATAGCGCCTTTTTCCATAAATGCGCAAAAAATCAGAGCGATTGCATGATGAAATTCGTAGGTCGATTTCCGTTTCATATTAACTATTGTGGGTGCAACATATCATGCAACCGTCTAGAGGCTCTGGACATTTCTTCTGAGTTCATGTGTTTGGGAATTAGGTTTACAAATTTACGATATTAAAAACCTTTCATTAGCGCTAACTTCATTACATTCAACTTCGCCGTCGCCGTTGGTTGCTTCACTCGTTTTACTCTCGATGCTTTTATATAGCCCACACAAATGGTTTTACAAACTTCCAATGCCAGTAAAATTATGTTAAATAAACAAAAGTTAAAAAATTAATATGCAGATGTTTTGAAATTAAACAAAACAATCAAGAAATGGGGTTGAGAATAAAAAAACATTCATGCAGGACGTCGCGTATCATTTTACGGAAAAACAAACAAATGCATCATCTCGTCGAAAACAACGCAAAAACATTATGAATTATTTGTTCTTTACGGTCCAGTCTTAATTAAAATGCAACTCCCACGTCATGAAAATTTTTCCTGCATGGAAGGCTTACTAATTGGATGAAAGAATGTTTACTAATCATAACATTTACTTGAAAAAACGTCAATCATGAAAAAATAATTTGGCAGAGCATATAATATGTTATAGTAAAATATAATATAATGTAATATAGTATAATATAATATAGTACAATACCATATAAT